TATTTTTTCACTTAGTAGTTTTATACAGGTACGGACGAAAAGTTATTACTCTTCAAACGAGTTAAAAAATATGTAGGTGGCGCCCTCTACTAGTAGGAGTCATATTGACATCAAATTCAAATTTCTCATGTCAAAAAACTCCCAAGCACCAATTTTCATCCAAATATTGACCTTACTTCAGAAATTATTTGGAAAAAATCGAAATAAAAATGAAACTGCACCCTGTATCTCGGAAAGTAAACATTTTTGGACATACATTTATACGAACTTTTTCACTTATTTTTATCTGCAGAATATGTGCCGAAAGTTTCCAGAATACAATTCGGACCACCCTGTATATACTGACGGGACAGTCAATACACCCACAGTTCTGAATGCCTCTCCATAGTCGGCCCGATAGCCAAGCCCAGCCAAGATCCGCACAGCCGCCCTTTGCAAGCCGAAGATCCTCTTTAGTTGGGATGTACATATGTCCACAGGCGTGAATAGCATAGGACAAGATGGAGTGGAACAAAGCAAAGTATACAGTCCTCAGTACGGGCCCGGAAACACTTCCTGAAAGAGCAAACAATCCCCTTCTAAGCCTAGACGCAATCCCATCAACATGTTCATGTCAGTGAAGCAGAGGATCAATCTGCACTTCCAGAAACCTAACACTCTGGCCATCTGCGTTTACTGTTTCTAAGTCCCTAAGAGAGAAAACCATCCTATTGGTTTTGTCAGGATTCAGGAGCAACCTATTGGCACAAAACTACCTCACTCCCCTCCATGGCACCCATCAATGAGTCAGATGAGAAGGCCACTGTTGTGTCATCAGCGAAAATTATAAATTTAGATGTTGAGTCTATATGTGGTAAGTCGTTGATATATATCAAAAATAAAATTGGTCCGAGTACTGAGCCCTGGGGCACTCCAATATTAACATGACTCATCGCTGATGACTCCCCACCGACCCTCACAACCTGAACTCTAGAAGTAAGATAGGAACGCATGAAATTAATACCATCCAGACTAAAATTGTACCTTTCAAGCTTCCGTAACAGTATGTCATGTAGTACACAATCGATAATAATTACTACTACATGTCTACAAATTTCTTTAAAATACGACACTCACTGCTCCAATTGTCAGCATTTCCTAGTGATTCTTAACGTCTACTGAATTTTCAATCTCCACTAAACGTAAATATATAAAAGAAAATTTCCATTCAATAAGAGGCAAAATACTGTGGGTGAGGTGCCCCCATAAATAAATTCAGATTCCCTCGTATTTCACAAACAGAACATCAAATTTTATATTTAATTATAAAGAGAAAAAAGTGACAACGTCAATGAAGCGTCATTTATTATAAACTGCCTGTAAACCAAAGAAAAATTAAAAACGATTTTACAATATTTCGTTTTTTTCCAATATGTATGGAAATATTCGGATATTTATAATTTGCAAAACAGAATTTCATTGATATTGTCGCGAATTCTTGTTGATTATCAGGTCTTTTATATTCAGTATTTGATTTAGAATGTTAAAACTAGAACATTCGATAATGAATACCTCCTATTTTTGTAATAAAAAGCAAGAAAATAACAATAAAATAAGTACTTTTCAAAACATCAAACTCATAAAATAACCCAGATATTTCGGTCAAGCTGTATAACATCTTATCTGTTACATTATTTCCGCCATTTCCAAACATCTTATCTAAGATTATACTGACTTCCCCTGGTTTTATGCGACGCTCAAGGAAATTTATTGGCAAATAAGTCATTTTCGTGACGACATAAACTGACTGAAATAGACGAACTAGGGCAGAATATCTGTTAAAATAGGGCAATTTTCTATTCATATTAGAAAAAAGGTCAACAGCAATAAAATCAGCCGAAAATAATATTTATAGGTTCATCATCAATAAAAAAAGTTAGTTTATTTGTTTGTAAACGAAAAAAGTTGTTTATTTGGGGTGTTATGTCAGCATAGAAAGAAATAAAAATAGTAATAAAATACGTTTTTTTAAGAGTTCGTAAGAAAATTTCTATCGCACAAAAAATAATAAACCAACAGATATAACTTCGACAAGGAGTTTAAACATAACTACTCGACAGTTTGCAAAAAACACTTGAAAAAAGAAATAAATTTCCAGAAATTGTTATATGTCAACATAACATAATGTAACAATCTGATATACAGGGTCCGGCAAAAGTGCGTCGGGCATCTGTAGCTTCTAGAATAAACAACTTGGGAATTTTGTTTAAGTGCAAACCTTTCGATCTACTAGGATGTATCTCCCGAAAATATTTTAACTTCTATCGGGTGACTCAAAAAAGTGTGAGTGGATCGGGATGATTTTTTTAAATAGAATACCCTGTATATTATTGCATTTTTGGCTTCCTTTCAGATGACTTTACGTAATCCTAAGATAACGAGTAAAGATATTCAGAGATATTAATAAACAAATAAATAATTTTTTTTTTCAACCTTCCTATATTATTTTGTAATTATGAATTATTATTAAACTTGTATTTACTTCCTTCCTTTACTATTTGTAATACTAGAAAATTTTAATTAAAGAACCTGTCCAGAGATCAAAACTATATTAGATATTTACTTTAGATCGTCTATACCTACTTTGATATAAATATCGTAATCTTAAATCATACAGGGTGTTCAGAATTCTACGCCAAACTTTCTAAAATATAAAATATATTTTTTCTACAAACGTCAAAAAATGACAAGGTTTGCGAATTGATCGCAATGTGCGAAGTGACACTTTTTTTCATTGTGTTGTTCTACGTTACCATGACACGGCGCGCGAAGTAATGCGTGAAATACCTATTTCGCACACTGCATGTAAATTATATGTGATTTTGGAATTTTGATTTTTGGAAAATGAAGAACTAAATCATAACTAATTATTTATTTCGAAATATTCAAGAATAAACAAATAACAAATATCAAACTTAACACTAATGCATTTTCTAGTTATTATTTACAATAATAACATTTATAGTACAACCAGTACATGAACCAATATTTAATCCCAAACTAGATAGTTCTGATTTTGCTCGATTGAGGTTTTGGAACTTGATACACTATCCAATTTTGATGTAGAGGTACTTGATCACGGTGTTTGACACTCTAAAATGTATTTGATATTTGAATTTTATTGTATAATAATTAATTTTATTTTATTGTATATCCCGATTTTAATGTTTGTAGAAAAAATGTTGTTTGCAACTCGTGCGCGAACTATTTTGGTGATCTCAGTTAATTTTTCAACTCGGCTACACCTCGTTAAAAATTCAAATATCGATCACCAAAGTAGCACTTCGCGCACTAGATACAAAAATAACTATTCTTTGTTTTTTTTTTAAATGGAACACACTGTATATTATTTTTATTAGATTGAAAGTTCAAAAATTAACATTTTTTGTATTTAAAGTATTTGAAAATTTCTAATGGTTTGACAGATACAAGCAGTATTATTTCATATGGCTCTTTCAACTGTAAAATACGAGAGAAAAATCATTGGGTGGCTATAATAAAAATTTACTATGGAAAATGCGATATGAAACATAAAACCGCGAATATCTACGAAACCGTTAAACTTTTTGAAATACTTTAAGTGCAAAAAATGTTCATTGTTTAATTCTCCATCCATTGAAAAAATAATATACAGAGTGTTCTATTAAAAAAAAACGAAGAAAAATTATTTTATATTTTAGAAAGTTTGGCGTAAAATTTTAAAGAGCCTGTATGATTTACTATTACCATATTTTTAGCAAAGTAAGTACAGTCCATTTAAAGTGAATAACTAATATATTTTTGATATAAGGACACTTCTTTTATTTTTAATATTTTTTTAAGAAAGGATGATTTAAAATATTACCATTAGGTGCTATAATAAATATTACACTTTATATTAATAAAATTCGAATTTTATGCGGACGAAGTCGGGGGAAAAAACTAGTAAAAATATATGATAAAATTGTGAGTTATGATTAATATCTTTTTTTTTGTTACAATGTTAGTAAAAATATATTTGTTGAAAATTTTCAATCTTACATCCTTACATTATAAATGAAAGCACCTAATTTCGATTTATATGTAATATGACAGCTCGGTATTCCCATGATATTTCAAAATGATGTATTACAAATAGAAAATTATATTAAAAATCAATATACGCAGGTTGAATATAAGATAAAATTTAGTCTTATATTGGTTGCGTTTTAATAATGGATCACTTTTTATTACTTTAAATTGATTATAGGTATATATTGATATGTTTTTTTACAGTATATTATGTTCACAAAATAGTCACCTTTAGAAATTTGACCTACATATAAAATTAAAAGAAGCGCCCCATGAGTTTGTTTGGGCACTAAAATTATGAAACAATTAACCAATTTTATTTATTTTTGAATACTACAGAAACATTATTTTTAATTGTAGTGAAATGACTATGCGCCTCCATAGCTTGATGTGACAAAATTTTTTTTTGAAAGTCACTTTCGGAAATATACTTTTTCCTCAAAAAGTATGCGCGGTGGCGTTTTTTATAAGAGACAAAAAATGTAGTAAAAACTAAAGGGACCATTTTACAAAAAGAAAATCAAATCTGTTGTCGGTGAAGTTGGAAAATATTTATAGTAAAATTTATGTAGGAGCGGAGGTAGTTTTCACTCTACCTGTTAATAATATATTGTACTAAAATAGTATAAATACACCACTAGTTAAAGAAAAATAGTCAAAATCAAACAATAAGAATATTCACAAAATCAAACAAAATAAAAATTTAAAATAAGTGAGTATTTTTTGTCAACTAAAATTCAACAAAGTGATAATTGGTATTTTTTCTTAAATTATTAGTTTTATTATTAACAGTTGGCGGAAGATTCTGATGAACTTTGTCTCGGGCATTAGTTTCATATAGCGCATAATTTTCGAATGTATGATTAATATTTTTTACAATTAAATGTTTAATAAATACTTTTTCTACATACCTCTCCCCCTCCCAATGTTCTATCAGCTGAACTGCGAACTCTACAGTGCAGATAGGCTGTAGCACCTAGTTGTACTGTAACGTTAGTGATGGTGTTATTGTCAAACCCTACAGATGCCTCTGCTCTATTATAATCTTCAAAGTTTGGATGCCACAACTGTCTCCATTCTGAATACTTGTGTTGAGTTTCTTTACGCCCTGTAACAACAAAAATTAATGTTTTTATTAATTATTAAAAAATCACAATGAAGCCACTTTTTTTCTTAACAAAGTTTGTTTCATAAGGACTTACAGAAAATAAATAATTTAGCAGATGAGCTTGTCGAAATTCAAATTGGATTGTTATATTAATTTAAAATAAACAAAGTTATGGCGCTCCGATAAATACACGACAATAAACAAATATAAATAAAGGGTTAGTTCATAATGTAAAATAATGATGGGATTTAAATTTTTAGTAGTTGTGCGAGTTGCGTTTAAAGCTATTTATTTAACGGTTTCAAATAAAGTATAAATTTATAATCATGACCCTTTTGACATTTTAATTACATTGGAGATTATTAAAATTTACGTCTAACTAACACAGTGGCGTTTTTATACACTTCTGCTGTAGGATAAATTAAATGGAAATAAGATTAATAGAATTTGTTTTTGTTATAAATATCCAAACAAAATAAAACAAAGTATATACTTTTTCAAAGCGGCTTACAGCTGCTTTGGAGAATACCTTCAATAATTTACATTGAAAAAAAAGCTATTGATTAAGTTGATACCACTACTTATAACATAATATTGTAGGTATATTTGGAACAAAAATTTATAAGACATTTTAGAGGTATAGACATTTTTTAAAAATGTATAAGTGAATTCCAAGTAGTACAAAGATTTATAAAGCAATAACAAAGAGGGAGCTTAAAAGGATACAGTAGATAAGACAAAATACCGAGATAACACACGTGATCTACAGAATTACGTATCTACGTCCTTCAAATGGCCCACACTGGTATATAACTGACTGTGATTTAAACTGACTACAATGCTATACGTAAGGCCTCAATAATCTAAGGAAATATCCAAGTCAAAAATGTAACCTGCAAAATTAGAAAACAAGTTTATTTTTAAGATCATTGGTAAACCGTTTTTCCTGAAATTTGCTACTCCTACACACATTTTAACTAAAAAGCGAATGGGGATTGTGTAAAATTCCGTAACAGCCCTGAAAGGGTAGTTTCCATTAGGATAGAGTGTACTACTGGTGGTACTTCTTTTATCCTTATAGATACAATAATTTGAATAAATGATATAAACAGCTAGAACACGCAAGCTAGCTTTTACGCAAAACAAATGCTCTTCCTTAGTTCAAAAAGGTGAACGGTTTTCAGGATATTCGCGTTAAAAGATTACGTTGCATCGATTTTAGTATTAGTATAAAAATGCATCGATTTTAGTAAAAAATAAAATGCAAAGAAATTTTAAATAAATTAATCTCCTGATTTTGCTAATGATAAAATGGACGCATCGGAACCTTTAAATGCAAATATCTTGAAAACGTTTACCAGCTTTAACTGTTTCGAACTAAACAAAGAGCACATTTTTTACATAAAAAGGTCCTAGCTTTAATTTTCATTTATTGAAATTACTATAGTAGTACTATATAGTAGTACTCTCTACTCTCTACCATAATGGAAAGTACCCTATCAGAGCTGTTACGGAATTTTAAACGACGCCATTCGCTTTAGCGTTAAAATGTGCGTAAGAGTACCAAATTAAAAAAAAAACGATTTACAAATATTTTTAAATATAAACAAAATATATTATTTCTATTTAACCTTTCGAGGGTTGTAATTATGTTCATAGGAACTTATGGTTTTATTTTTATCTATTGAATCACCCACCGAAGTTCGATACATTATTTTTTGACATCCTGTAAATTCCGGATAGTAAGTTACTGACAGCGCAGCGGTTAGAAGCGAGTTTTTAACAGCTTTTAAGATTATCTTAATATACTAATACCGTATGATCGAAAAAAAATGGCGTCCAGTTGGCTGGGAAATGACAATCGCTGACATTTCCTATATAATTTTACATATAAAATGACAGCGATCTTCATTTCATAGCCATCGCTGACGCCGTTTTTATTCGATCATACGGTATATAAAATCCTTAAGTGACTGACTCACTAATTAATCACGATCCTGCTCAAACCACTCAACGTAAGAAGCTCAATTTTGGCATAAAGGTTGATTCTGGGGTGTAGAGGTTCGATAAGAAGGAATTTTTCGAAATTCCAATTCCAACGGGGTGAAACCACCCCTCAAATATTACAATATTTTTTATTTAAAAAAAGGTTAAGTGTCCGAAAAAACGCTTAAACACGTATATTTTATTTTACTTTTTTACATATTTTAAGATTTTTTAAAAATGTATACAGGGTGTTTCGAAAAATCTGGTTATTAATTAATCACGATCCTGCTTAAAGCGCTTGACGTAAAAAGCTGATTTTTGTAAAACGGATTCGCTTTAGGGTGTAGAGGTTCGATAAGAAGGGATTTTTTGAAACTCGAATTTTAAGGGGGTGAAACCATCCCTCAAATACTAGAATATTTTTTTATTTAAAAACTGGTGAGTTTTTCGGAAAAACTCTTAAACACGCATATTTTATTTTGTTATTTTAAGATTTTTTAAAAATTTATACAGGGTGTTTCATAAAATATGACCATTGAGTAATCACGATTCTGCTTAAACTGCTTGACGTTTAAAGTTGATTTTTAACAAACGGATTGACTGTGGGGTGTAGAGGTTCGATAAGGAGGGGTTTCTCGAATCTCAAATTCCGAGAGGGTGAAAACGTCCCTCATATATTACAATATTTGTTATTTAAAAAATGGTTAGTCTTTCGGGAAAACGCTTGGACACGCATAATTTATTTTGTTTTTTTACATATTTTGAATTTTTTTAAAAAATCATACAAGGTGTTCCAAAAAGTTGGGTAATTGATTAACCATGATTCTGCTTCAACTGCTTGACGTAAAAAGCTTATTTTTGGCAAACGGATTTTTTGAAAGTCAAATTCCGGCTAGATGAAACTACCCCTCAAATATTACCAAGTTATATAATAATATCGCCATATTGTTTTTTCGCATGCTGACATAAATATGAGAAAATTTTATCCACTTTGTATGTTAATGGAAATTCTTGCTTTGCTTTGTCATCACCATTACAAATGATTAATTCGACGCGAACGAAGTCGCGGGTACACGCTAGTGTAATTTTAAAATAATTTAATATCTAAATTTTCGGGTCGTAGGTTGGTGTAATTTATAGATAATTCGATTTTTACAGTTATTTAAGTATACAAGGTGTTTCAAAAAATATGTGCTATATCTCGTGGGGAGATTCCTCACGTAAAAATAAGATGTATTTCTTATATCAACATAGGGTCCGATTTTACTTTGTTTCGTAGCTACAAGGAGTTAAAGTCTTCATTATTTTTCGATTTATTATAATTTTCTTCCAAGTGCCTTTAGCGATTTGAATGAAATTTTCAGGGTAAAAGTTACTATAAGTGTAACATATTTTAATGCTAAAAAAGTGTCGAGAGATTCACCTGGGACGTGCATATGGGTTATCACTAGAATATTTTTCTAAAAAAAACATGTGCGCCACTGACTTTTTTAATCTTGTTAGCAAAATTGTGTAGGCCGTTTAATGCCGATTAAAAGTTGTATCTTCATATTTTGTCGATTTCGATCTGCTTGGTGAGATAAACGCAATTTTGTCACCAATAAAACTAAAATTAATAAATTATTTATTTAGTCTAATTTATTATTAAATTGTATTAAAATTTATAACAGTCATGTTCAGTGTTACCAACAGCAAATTCAATAAAAAATAATGGTATTTCAGGTAATTACAAAAGACCTATTTTTTAAATAATTATTTCCTCTAACTTGGAAACTAAGCATTTCCGAATCCATGTTTATAGGAACTTTTTTATATTTTTTTGATTAGAAATCAATGAGTACTTATTTAATACTTTGGACAGCTAATGACACTAAAAAAAATAAAAGTTCTTATTAGTCTTAGATTAAGGCAAATTAATAAAATTGCTTTTATCGCATCAAGGAAACTGAAATCGACAAAATATCAATAGGCAACCTTTAATTTGCATTAAACAGTCTACATAATTTTACCGACATGCGACAAGAGGAAAAAAATGTCAGTAACGCATATTTTTTTTAAAAAAATATTCCAGTAATAATCCAAATGTCCCTGGTGAATCTGTCGACACTTTTAATAATTAATAAATACCTCGGAAAATAAATATAGTAAATAACTACCTCGGAAACTACTGGAGATAGAGAGTCGGTTAAATGGAGAAATAATTGCAGATTTGTGGGGTCATAAATATGTGACTTTCAGTTTTTTGAAAAATTCATGGCTTACTAGATATTTCGAAAAAAGCAAATTTTGGCTATTTTAAAAATTGTCTCTAATTCCATTATAATCTATTTTAGACGAAAAATTTTTAGATAAAAGTTGTAGATAATCATATCCCTAATAAGTTTGTGTCCTCCGATTTTTTCTAAAGCCTGTCATTTTTGACATATGACACAAACTTATGTTTTTTTTAAATGGAAACCACAGTTGGCCAGGACTTAATAAAAAGCGCCGTTTTTAAGCTATTCAGCGATATAAGCTATAATATGTTTTTCAAAAAAATACTGAGTTATAGCCAATTCTTATCTTTCTTGAATAATTTCACTTAGTTAGCCATGGAAACAAATTCAATCGTCGTTGTTCTTAGAAATGTGAAACTGTCACATCCAAACTATGTGAATTAAAATAAACAAAAATTGTAAATATGAACTTTTCAAATGAAGAAAAGCATGTACGATTATTGGTTCAACTTTTCTTGGCCATACAGTTTCGAGGATACGTTTACCGGTGATAAACGTTACTTACGTTTTATAGAGAACGGTCTTCAAGACATGTTAGAAAAGTTAAATTTGGATACTCGTGCATTAATAGAGTGGTTCCAACATTACTTTCATTATGACAAACCCCTCCACACAATGAAAGAAATGTTAAAAATTATTTCTCATAATTATGTAGACTCAGGGACAGAAAGAGGTGGACCAATTGCATGGGCCTCTTCGATCACCTGACTTTGTACTAAGCTTAAAAAATGGCGCTTT